AAAGGGGGAAAAAAACCCGGCCGGTGTCATCCCCCCACGTCAGGGCCGGTGGTGGGCGTGAGGCTGTACTTCCTCCGCCCCCTCCTAATGGAGCGAACCATTCCCAGCCAGCCTTCCTCGCCCTCTCCCGCTGCCTCCCTCTTCCTCTCCTTCTCCTCTTGTCTCCCCCCCTTGTCTGCAAAGTCCTCCGCTGCTCGGAACTTGTTGGCAATGTCTATTTTTCAGCTTTCCCCCACGTTCTCCAAAGTAACTATTTAAAGATCTGCAGCCGCAAATGGTTTTACTAAATGTAGGATGGGACTTAAGTTGAACGGCAGTTATATTTCTCTGATCCTTGCTGTACAGATAGGTAAGTGGACTGCCAAATTCCGTGTCAAGTTGTGCGCGCCCCAGCCCGGCTGGTGCATGCGGGAGCGGAACGTCGGGATAACCCGCGCGGGGTCCGCGGTGCGGGCGGCGGGACCCCGCTCTCCGCTCCCCGCCTTCCCTTCCCTGCGCGGCGGCGGCGGCTTCGCGTTCCGGAACGCTGTCAAGGCAGGGGAGCCCGCAGGAAAGGCAGCCGGTTTCTGCTTTCTCGTGAACCACTTTTGGTTTTCGTTTTCCTAAAGCAGTGCATGTTCACTCATTCTCCGCTTTTTATTTCCCTTCCGCCTCTTCTTCCTTCTTTTCCCTCCTTTTCTCTCAGTCCCCACGAACGGTTGCGTTTGTATCTGGTTTTCGGATATCCCCTTCATTCCCTTCCACTTACAATCTGGTGACTCCAGTGCTAAGAAATTCTCCTCCTCTTCCCGAGGGACAGAGAAATAAGAACTGGCACAAAATGTCTTGCGAGAGATCTAGCTGGAAAGTTTTTTTGCAGAAAATCAAGGGGACAAGCGAAGGTCTCCCTTTGGGAACCAGAACGTTCTCCCATTTGCAGAGCATCTTTAAACCAAAGAAAACCCATCACTAAATTAAAAGAAATAATCAACTCGAATGTGGAGATTAAACAAATAAAAAATTACTTTAAAAAATCGCGGAGTCCCACCGCCCAATCGTTAATTTTGTGCTTGGAGAAGACCTGTCAAAAATCGAGCAGGTCCAAAAAAATTTCTATACATGCTGTTACTTAAAATAGAACAGGTTTCTTTCCATGCCGGTGTGTATTTTGTGTGCTTTGTTGCTGGTTTTGTTCAATATCTTGGGGTTTTCGCTGGTTGGTTTTGTTGGTTTGCTCTCGGGTTCATTTTATACTTTTCTTTCCTGAAATTTTTTTTTTTTTTTTTCAGTTACGGATATTAAACAATCTCCAAGTTAATGACCACTTCGGTCCTATATAGGGAAATTTTAAAGATTAGCTACTGGATATGTAGATTCCCGGGCATGATCCAAAACAGGGTTTTAAGGAAAGGGGGATTAAAGCACGTCTTTTATTATCTAGACTGTCAGGTGTGGAGACCCCTTTGAAAATATTTTCCTGCAAAGGAATTCTGATACAATTACAAAAGAAAAATCGGCATTGCTATTTAGAGATCCTTTTGCTCTGTCACACTCCTCTCCAGAAAACCTCTGCAGCATTTTATGGGCACCAAAGCCAAAAGGGGGAAAAAAAAAAAAAAAAAAAAAAAAAGGAGGGGAGAATTAGAAAGGGAGGCAAAATGCCTTCCTCATCTAAAAAAAAGGGGGGGGAAAGAAATAGTGCAACGAAATGTTGACCTCTGGGAAATGTGGTTAAATGATGCAAACCCCTACATTCGTATTACTATTCCATTTTAAATAAGGCTGAACTCTTCAGAAGGCCAGTTTTGTACTGCCAGATAAAGAAGGGGGAAGGCTTTATTTGGATGTTGTCCTTAATTTCAATCCTTGCAATTTTTGTTTTTGTGTTCGTTCATTCGTTTGGAGGAGGAGAAAGATTTTCTTTCTTTTGTGTTTATTTGGTTCAGCCGAGGACGGATTTTACTGAAATTTCAAAAGGCAGCTAGAGTCGCTGGGAAATGCCGTTCCCAGGCTGGCGCGAGCATGAGCAGTCATTTGGAAAGTTACCCCCAAATACTGCTGCACACCGCGGGGATGGTGGCGGTGCGGTGGCTTTGCGGTGCCCTGGAAGGGGACGGCTTTGAAGCTCGTGGAGGGCTTTTCTCCTCCCTGCTCCTCCTTCGGTATTTCGGGTAACCTTCCCCCCACCTCCTCCACACCTCCCCACCCCCGGAATCAGCTTCTGGTTGTCGGTGCAGGGCTTGCAAAGGTCCCCTGGCTTTGCCCCGTCCCCGCCAAAGGTTCGTGTGAAATGGATGCTCGGCTCGTTCCCAAAATGTCTATGCA